AGGTAGTCCTCAACTTACAACCACAATTGAACCTAAAATATATGTTGCTAAGTGAGAAATTTGTTAAGTGAATTTTACCCCATTTTATGATTTTTTGTTGTTGTTAAACTAGTAACACAGTTGTTAAGTGTACCTGGTTTCCCCATTGACTTTGCTTGTCAGAACGTTGCAAAAGGGGACACATGACCCCGGGACAATGCATAAATGTGAGTCAGTGGTCAAGCATCTGAATGCAAATCACATGAGAGTGGGGATGCTGCAATTGTTGCAAGTGTGAAAAATGATCATGTCACTTTTTTTCAGTGCTGTTGTAACTTCAAATGGTCATTAAGTGAACTGCTGTAAGGCAAGGGCTACTTGTATATCATATCATATTTTAACAGAAGAGTTAGATTACACTCTGCCCTCCCAGGCCTCAAAAGGGTCAAGAATTTAATCAACAGGGTTTCATCTCTAAAATATATTCTGTTCACTTCCTACCTATTGCAGCCTACTCTCATTTCACATTATTTCAAACCATAGATTTGTGTATACAATATACATGACATAGAAAAAAAACCTTAGTGAAAGAATACTTTGAGGACTTAAATAAAATAATATTGAAATATATATGGCAGGGAAAGAAGGCAAGAATTAAATTAAAATTGTTACAGGATGCTAGAATGAGGAGATTTTGGACTACACAATTGGAAATTATACTACCAGGCAGTAACACTGATGTGGGCGAAAAAATGGATTTTTTTGAGAAATATTAGATTGTTAACACTGGAAGGTCATGATTTGCAATTGGGGTGGCATGCATTTTTATGGTATAAGGAAAGTAAAGCACATGGGTATTTCAGGAGGCATTACATTCAAGATGCTTTATTGTCTACATGGGAGAAAATAAGGAAACAACATTATATGAAAATACCAGTCTGGTTATCAGCTATAGAGGCATTTGTGTATCCAATTGTTTTTAAAATGGAACACGTAGTTAGATATAATGAAATACTAAATGAAAAGGGTGAATTCAAAACAAAGCAAGAATTAGATGGACAAGAGATAAAGATGAATTGGTATTCATATGTGCAAATACATTCTAGATATGATAAAGTTAGTAAGACAGAAGGGTTTTACAAGGAACTTATTGGATTAGATAAAATTTTAACAGGTACTGAGGAGAGGATGGTTTAAAAAGTATATGGATATTTACTTGGAGTGAAATTAGAAGAACAAGTTAAAGAAATGATTGCTTGGGGGGGGGAATGTTGGATATGGGATAGATTTAGAAAAATGGCAGAAATTATGGATTCGAAACTATAAATTATAAATTAACAATGTTGACAGCATATAAAGAGAATTTGTACAAGATGTTTTACAGGTGGCATCTACCCCCAGCAAGAATAGCAAGGATCTTCAAGGATAAATTAGCAAAATGTTGGAAATGTCATCAGATACCTGGATCACATTACCATATATGGTGGACATGTGTGGAAGCCAAAAGATACTGGACTAAAATTCACACATGGCTGGAAAAAATGACAAAACAGCATATAGACTTGAAACCAGAGATATTTTATTGGGTATCTTACCTGAAGGATACAATAGAGAATTGACATATGTGATTATTAATTTTTAACTGCAGCTAGAATTGTATTTGCTCAAAATTGGAAAAATGAAAAAAAAATCTGATAGAGGAGGAGGTGATTAAGAAAATAATGGAATGTGTAGTGATGAGTAGATTAACACTGGCAATTAGAGAGCAAGAAGAATTTTTTTTATAAAATATGGGATCTATTTTATCAATGGTTAGATAGAAAAAGGAAAATGAAATATAACATAAATATAATACAATAGTAAATGTAATACAATAGTAATGATATGTTATAATTGATTATTATGGAATGAATTAGAATATGAATTAGAATTAGTAAAAACTGAGATTTGCTCTAAAATGATAATGCGGACTTGCAATTAAAATCTAATGATGATGTAATAATAACATGACATGGAAAGTTGATTAATATAATTTGAATATAAATTTAAATCTAAGATGGAAAGACTATGGAAATTATGCACAAGAAATATGTACCAACTGACACACTGTACAATTGAAAGAAGGTTTTATTTGTTGTTTTTGTTTGTTTGTTTGTTGCCAAAAAAAAAAAAACATTTTACAAAAAAAAAAAAAGAAAATAGAAAAAAAACCTTTCCTTTCACAATCCAAATAAACTTAACTCCTCAACTCCCTTCCAAAGTGGTAGAGGGATTAAAGTTTTGCACTACAACTTTTAGCAGGAAGAAGGAAACTAAAATATTTTACTTATATAGATTAAGTTAGAAAAGTAGCATTCTCTGCAGAACTCCTGGTCAAAATTCCTGTTTGCATAAACTGTTTATTATCTGCTAAAAATTAACTGAATCTAGCCTGTCAAATGCCACACTTTGAAAATTGCTTTGAGATTTCTTTTTACAGGAAGTGTTATTCAAATATTTTAAATAAATAAAGAAATCTGTCTGTCTGTTTTCTTTGTTGTTGTTGTTAGTTGCAAAGTTGTGTCTGACCCATCATGACCCCATGGACAACGTTCCTCTTGTCCTTCCTGTTCTCTACCATCTTCTAGAGTCCATTTAAGCTCACACCTACTGCTTTAGTGACTCCATCCAGCCACCTCATTCTCTGTCATCCCCTTCTTCTATTGCCCTCAATCTTTCCCAGCAATGTGCTTTTCTCCAGTGAGTCCTTCCTTCTCATTAGGTGTCCAAAGTATTTGAGTTTTAACTTCAAGATCTGGCCTTCTAAAGAGCAGCCAAGGTTGATCTCTTCTAGGATCATTCCATCATTTTGGGGAATTGTATCTCAGTATTGCTTTTCCTACTCTTTTATTGACTATGAAGGCTACTCCATTTCTTTTGAGGGATTCTTGCCTACAGTAGTATACCTGATGGTCATCTGAATTAAATTCACCCATTCCGGTCCATTTTAGTTCACTGATTCCTAAGATGTCGATGTTCGGTTTTGTCATCTCTTGTTTGACCACGTCCATCTTGCCTTGATTCATGGATTTTACATTCCAGGTTCCTATGGAGAATAGTTCTTTAGAGCATCAGACTTTCCTTTCACCTCCAGATGCATCCAGAGTTGAGCGTCCTTTTGGCTTTGGCCCAGTCACTTCACTCTTTCTGGTGCTACTAGTACTAGCCCTCTGCTCTTCCCCAGTAGCATATTGGACACCTTCCAACCTGAGGGGCTCATCTTCCAGCATCGTATCTTTTTGCCATGGGGTTTTCATGGCAAAGATACTGGAGTGGGTTGCCATTTCCTTCTCTAGTGGATCACATTTTTTCAGAACTCTCTGCTAAGACCTGTCCATCTTGGGTGGCCCTGCATGTCATAGCTCATAGCTTCACTGAGTTAGGCATTGAGTTACACATGGAGTTAGTTCATTGAGTCTTAGTTTTTCTTAAATTCAGAAATATGTCCTAATGAACACGGTCACATTCTTGAGAGGCTGGAAAATATTCTTGTGAACCAATTCTGAGATTTTGCTATCAGTTCACTCTATGTATTAGAGAAAGAAATGTTTTGAATGAATGAATGAATTCTTTATTGGCCAAGTGTGATTAGACACACAAGGAATTTGTCTTGGTGCATATGCTCTCAGTGTACATAAAAAGAAAAGATACATTCATAAGAATCATAAGGTACAACACTTAATGATAGTCACAGTTTATGTCCAGGATGTGAGGTGTCTGTAAATATTTTCACAGCCCTCACTTTGACTTGTGCAATATACAGGTCCTCAATGGAAGGCAGGTTGGTAGCAATTGTTTTTTCTGCAATCCTAATTTTCCTCTGAAGTCTGTATCTGTCTTGTTGGGTTGCAGTTATTGAGGTCCAGATGACAGACTCAATAATTCCTCTGTAGAACTGTATCAGCAGCTCCTTGGGCAGTTTGAGCTTTCTGAGTTGGCGCAGAAAGAACATTCTTTGTTGTGCTTTTTTGATGATATTTTTGATGTTAGGTGTCCATTTCAGGTCTTGAGATGTGATAGAATCTAAAAATTTGAAGGTCTCTACTGTTGACACTGTGTTGTCTAGTATTGTAAGAGATGGTAGCATGGGAGGGTTTCTCCTAAAGTCTACCACCATTTCTACGGTTTTGAGTGTGTTCAGTTCCAGATTGTTTTGGTCACACCATGAGGCAAATTGTTCAACCTCCCATCTGTATGAGGATTCATCATTGTCTCGAATGAGACCAATCACTGTTGTATCATCTGCAAACTTCAGAAGTTTAACAGATGCATCAAGTTTTTTACTATTTGCACCAAAGGGATCTATTTTAATTTGTTTCTTTCTTTACTGCATTTGTTTATAGTAACAAGCAGGCCCGCTCCTGGTAAAAAACATCAGGGAGCAGATGGGAACCCTCAGTCCCTTCAGGTGCTTTTACTACTAAATATGTGTACTTAGCATCTGTTGCCATTTGCTAGTGTTCTTTTAAATATGAAGTGTCAGAACGGGAGATCTAAAGAATCAGGCTTCAACTGGATGTAGCCTGCAACCTATATGAGAAGGAAGCCTGCCATTCACAATGGGTCTAGGACAACTTGCTGTGGCTATCTTGCCACTGCCAATTTGCCATGGGACAGTTCTTGTGGACAGTTCTTGTGGACAGTTCCACATGGGATAATTCAATGCAATAAATGTTATCAGCCACTGTTTTTTGATATTATTTCCATTTTGTCAATGATGGATAAAATTTATTGCGTTGAGTTAACCTGCGTGGAATTGCCTGCAGTGAGTTGTCCTAGCGAAGATGTCTGTGGCATGATAGACACGTAGAGTTGGCCACAGTGAGTTGTCCCATTCTGTTCACATCATCAGCCAAGTTTCTCTTTGACAGTCTTCTGTTGAGATCTGACTATGGCTGGTGAAAATTAAAAAAAAATAACAAAAGGCATTTCTTCTCTAAGCTTTATTTTAATGCAAAATAAAAGTGTCCAAAATCTATATGGCATCCAGTATCTATATATATATAACAGCTCAAACTTATTTTTCTAACATTCAAATTAATGATCTCTCAAATTTCTCCTTCCCCCCAATAATTTCCCCAAACTTTTAATGTTTCAGCTCACACAAATATAGATTTGTTCTTTAAAAAATCTAAATATAAAAGAAAGGTCACCCAGAGCAATTCCCATGATAGCTCCACCACTAATGCTTGTAGAATTTTACCCAAAATAAACCTGAAATGAATGGCTTGTATGCTGAGGGTCAAAACAAGCAGCACTCAAGTGCACAAATCACCTTCCCAGGTTCTCTGAACAAGGGCCTGGTATGGGAAGGCATGGGCTGCCCTAAGAGATAAGTGAACTTATAGAACATTTTTCACTAGGAGAAAAGAATGGTTTTTGCTCTAGGCATAACTATGCAGGATGTGAAATTGTTTCTGGCTCTGGATTTTAGCTGGGAGAGGAGTTTAGAGATACATTTGGAGAAGGGGGCTTTCCTAAAACTTTTATATTGCTCAGCCACCATTTTCATTCAGGTTTTCAGAGCTAGCTCCTTCTTTTGGGATTCTACAGGTGGTCATAGTTACACATCCAATTCAGGCTTTTTAAAAGTGTCACCAATAATTTGGTAGACAGTACAGTGGTTTTTCTAGTTACTTTAGAAGATTCTTATCAATCGTCTGTGGCTGATAAGCTTGCCCAATATTTAAGTTTGGTTGCCCACTGTTAGCAGCTTTTCAACCCTACTAAATGATTATCAATTGAATGTTTCCCTCTTGGGTGTATCAATTGTTCAAAATAAAGTTTGTCTGTAGAATCATTCTTTAGCAAGCTTTTAAAGAAAGCATCAATAAGAAGCAATTCCTTAGCCTTTTTTTCTTGGTTAAGCTGGAAATGGGTCAAAATAAGTGTTGAGTAGATGTAAAAAATAGTAAAACTATTGCAATACATTGCTTTTGGATTAGTAATTCTTCTGATCAGAAAGCACAGAAAATGAACCAAGGCATTTGTATAAATCCTGGGATTGCTTTCCCGCTTTATTAGATTAGTTCTCCTGCATCCTCTTCCTCCTTTTCTAGAAAAGTGAGATTGAAATGAGGACATAGAAGAAGGTTTCATTTGGTTTTCTGCCTAGAAAGGGATCCATACTTTAAAAGCCATTTTACAAGTGGTTCCTGCTGGATTGGTAGTTTTTTAAAGCAAATGAATGCAAAGTATATTAGAATATAAATGGATTTTTGCTGGTCAATAATATTTTTATTTATCTATTTAGATAATTTATATGGCTTCCCAAATGTATGGCTGCAAAGGGAAAAAGAGCAGCTATTTTCTCAATAGCTGATGCTAGTTTTTATTATGCTTTTTCAAGGGGTATATTGTCATCTATCAGCTATAGCACCTTGTGATGTAAGTGTGTGCTACACTTTTTCTGCAATATGGTGCTGAGAAAGTTTCCACAACCGTTCTCTGATGAACACATACCTCTTGAAATCAATTAACACATCCACATGTTTTTCCCAAGTCAGAATCCTGGCTTTCTGGACTGAGGAGGATGACATGTAATTCTTTTGCACTTTTTCTCACACTCAACCCAAGAATTTTCATTTTTCTTGCACCTGCACAAAACACCTCTATAGTGTTGTGCTGCACCTATTATTTTGTAACAGGGAATAAATTCCCTTACTGATCCAAAAAAGAGACACTGTTAAATAAGCTACTGGTTAAGATTAACAGCCCGGACAATCTACTTTTGACCTGCCTGACTTGCTCTATCAAACTGGGCCATTGTAGTCAATGGGAGTTTTCAGATGGGATTTGCAGCTGCACAGGAATAATTGAGCACCAGCCTCAAAATGATAAATAACTTAGACAGACTTTTTTCATCCTGTTAGCTTTGTTTCTGAAATGCTGTCAGTTATCTTTGTCAAGGGTAGGATAAAGTTTAGCAGCATGGATTTATAAGGTGAGATTTGTCTTTCAAGGCTATTTTTAATGATGATTAGGCTTGAGAAAGCCAGTGTCATCAATATTTCTTGTTACTATCCAAGGAGACCTTTGCATTATAAGTTAGGGTCATTAAAAAAAAGAAAAGCACATTAAAATAGTTTCATTTCACTTCGGATTGTCTGCATCTACTGCATTCTTGCCAAATATATTCATTTAAGAATATAGATTTTTTAAATAGAAATCGAAGGCTTTATACTTGAATCAGAATCAGAGGCCTAATCCCTGAAGAAGAAAGTAAATCTGTCTCAACCTTGGAATGGCTACCCCAAAATTTAGAATTCTTGAATATTCCTACTCAAATAGATGTCCACATCTGTTTCATGCACAACAATTAAGGAAAACATAAACTGAATTTAGTCCAGGGAACTTTACTCACAGATTAAATAAGACAACCAACATCACTTCTGAATTATGTTGAGGCCTCATTAAAACTAAGGAGATTATAAAAAGGAAGCATTGGCAGTTCCAAACAGAGAAGAGTTGAATTTGGATGTGTTTCTTGTTGCATGTAAGTTATAAATATGCTATATACCTGACATGATTTACAAAGATGAAAAGTAGAATACACACACACACACACACTACACACATTAAGGAAATCCATCTATTGTGGGATGACAAATTAGCCAGAAAAATAAAATCTGATATAAAAAGAAATTGTCTGCCTGAATCACAAGTATGTGCAAAGTCACTATATACTGGTGTTCACAATATGTAATTTCTCCATTCTCACTGCAATAGTTCAACTCAATATGGATTTCTGAAAATGTTGGCTTAACAAAAGTGAGTAAGTTATCAATTTCAGACGTGATTACATAGAGGTGGGTAGGGAGAATTAACTGCTTAAAATGGCATGAATAAGATTTGTTCATTTATATAAATAGATTTTTTGAAGGAAGGATCAATGTAGTCTTCCAATTCCTTGCAATTGATTCTTGATTAATCATTCAGGGCCAGTTGAAATTAAGTTCATCTACTGGAAATAGATAATTGGCCTTTGAATGGCCATAAAACTCTGAATTTTAGGGGAAAACTTCAACACATGTGCATACACTATGTGTGTTACAAAAATCACTTCTTGGAGACATTCCCCTATTAAAATGATCATACTTGCTATTTCTCCTTACTTGGAGGCTTTCCACTTAGCCCCATGTTCTCATATATTTAATGGGTAGTTTTGGAAAAAGGCTATGACCTTCAACCTTGATTCAAAATCACTATAGTACCTCATAGTTTCTGAATATGAATGCATAAGAAATCAGGGCTGCATTCACACCAAGCTGCTGACTCTTTCTGGGACATTAGAGAAACTGACTCTCTAAAATATAGCAATACAAATTTGTGTACATAATGAATACTCTATAAACCAAATCTCTTGAGGATACCTGGTGAAATGAAGCCATTTCAGAAAGGCTAAATGATAAATGGCTCTGCCTGCTTGATGCCCCCCGTTGAGCAATATATGATAATTATTAAATGACCTCTATAATGAATCTTGTTAATTTGCTGCATACCAAAATAAAACCCAGGGATTTTTCAACTCTTTTCTGTGGCCAAGGCAAGCCCAAAATCTTTCATTTGGAAGGAAAAGGGCTGTAACAGAGACTTAAAATGAGTCCCCAGTCAGTGTTTGGAATTAAAAAAATATGCTGAAGCTATTAGAGACTTTTTAGAGAAGCTTTTAAAGACTGAAGCAAGTCTCAGAAGTTTCATTAGTCTTAAGTGGCAAACCACAAAAATTGTGAGAACTTAAACTACCTTTGCATTTTACAGAAGTGTGCAAAGTTTGTCATTTCCCTTCTTTTCTTATAGACACATTCATCACAACTACAGTACATTATGATTCAGGGCATCCATGGAGACAAGAGGTAAAAACTATCAAAATGGTAGCTTTGACTGTTCAGTTGAAGCTGCCATTTTGATTTTTTGACACCTCACCCTTTTCTTCCATTCTGGATATTCCTACTATGATTCTACCTCAGTGGAACCTGCGTTATGCTCAAATCTCTCACTTGATAATTATACTATTATTATTTCTTTTTCCTCCTTTTTAAATCTAGAATTCTCCAATGCCCCCAAAGATCTAAATACTGTAATCCTTGGCATTTAACAAACCTTTCCTCTGCTAAGCCCTCTAGGATTAGACAAGGGCTGCTTTGCACAGTTGACTTAAACAAATAACTAACAAATAACAGTCTAACAGTTACCCAAGTGCTTGAAAATAATTTGTTTTCTGATAGGGCCATGAGGAAGGATGGTGGTCTAGCAAAAATGAGTTCCTAAAAACACAATATTCCACAGACATCCTGTAATCTTTTTGATTTAGAGTTGTGACTAGGGAAACAAATAGTAGTAAAATATCACCAGAGCACAAACTGATAACTGTATCCTACTATATAATTATTAAGTACAAGCTCCATTGGTATCAATGGAGAATCAGCTCTCTTAAGACATAAAGACACCTAGTCATCCACACACATCAATATACTGGCATAGAAATGAACTCAATCTTGTAATAGTTGTGAAATCAGAGGTAGGAAATTACATACTGAGCCCTTTTGTATTTCCTTCCAGAAACCTTACAATGCAACACTGTATGGTGCTCTTAGGCATCTTTTAAATTTGTCCATCTGCTCTTGTTATTAGAAAACAGAGAAAAGAAGAGGAGAAAAATGGCTTCAGAACTGAAGCATCCTTATAAGCAGCTGAAAAGAATATTAATAAAGGATTCAGAGATGAGGACAATAACAAGTTCCAGGTCATACTTTGAAAGGAATACATTTCAATGATACTGCAGAATATTTCCAAATTTTCAGTTCAGAGGAAGTCTTAATAAAGAACCTGTATCCTGATTGTACCCTTATGTGCCGTTTCTATAATCATTTTCTCTCCCCCTCTCTCCAAGACAATTTGACTTTCTTTTTTGTGCCTGTGTGCAAATAGCCCTGAGTGACACTTTGTGATGTGCATAGAAATACTGCTGAGTACTACCATCCTGTTTAAGCACTTAAAAAAACTCTCTTACTCTTCAATACTTAAAGGACATGTACCATTTATATGAGTTTGCAATACAGTACATGTTCTGGTCATAAATTGGCCAGAGTTAATGACTTATAGCATCTTCATAGCATCACCCAGCCAGTGCTGAAGAAATATAAAGCTTGTCTTTATTACTGGTATGTTGGCAAAATAATGGGTGGGTGACTCTAGTATATGCAATAGGTTGAGAGTGCAGAAATGACTTCTGAGGGACTAACTGTAAGATGAAGTCAACAAAAAAATATCAACAACAGTCCAGCTTTCAATTATACAGCTGCAGTCACAGAGTCCTTCTGCCTTGGATCTTGAGACCTACATTGGTACTGATCAGGAGTGCTTTGTCGGTGTTCTATTCTGGCCACCTCATTATAAGGTGGAACTCTGTGGCCTTGTGGTGGGGATGGTGGTACATCTTGACGGAGAGGTCTTTTGTGCTGAATTACTGGCTGTGGTGGGAAATACTGTGAATACCGTAACTCTGCTGCTCTTGGGCCATCTGGTGGATGAAGGTAGCTCCCTTTGGAGGGATGAACTGCAGATTGGCTTGCAGGAGAGTAGGGTAGATCTCTTTCTTTGTGTGCTATCCGTAGTCCTGTTAAATATTCCATTGGTTCTACAGATCCATGCCTAGGAAGAAAAATAGAAAGGGGGGTGGGGGGAGAAGCTGTCAGTAAAAAGTCTTGCATCACCTTCATCTAAAATGCAACAATTGTTTTGGCCAAGAAATATCACTTCCACTAACTTACAAAAGTCCCACAGAATAGAAACTGAAGCTCTGGACTGGTAAAATACAAGAAAGCCAGTGGAAAAGTCCAGCCTCCACATATTGCAGTTTCTTCATCAAAAAGTTCAAGCTGTTCATGATTCATTTGCAAAACTGTACTGAAAGCACTTTCTTTTTTTCTTTTTTTTTTGTGAGAAAGTAAAGTCTTTTTAATAAAGCATGTTTGTGTCTTGTCTAGCCTGAAGATATACTGATGATTTTGGTCAGTATCCCAGCAACACATAAGGCTCATGTACAATTCACACCTCAAAGCTGATTTGCCCATGTTCTCACATCAAACATGCCACTCTTGATGGTCCACAATTAGAAATTCCCATTAAAATATTAAAGATATGAGGATATAGTATCTGTGTTTAATGAGCTAGCTGTTGATAACATGTGTGCAGCAACTATGTAACCTGTGGATATGTGTATGATCTTGTATATGCTTCTCAACTTGCTTGCATTCATGTATATTTGACAAGATTTGGATCATTGGAAAACTCACGTCATGGACTGCCAGGGGAGGGCTGATGATGGGGTCATTCCAAAGGTTTTCTGTCCCAAATTTGGATTTACATTAAAGAGATATTCTCCCTAAAGCCAGGACAAATGATACATGGAATAAAGAAGTGTTGCATCTAGATGTCAACTCCAGCATGATGAAAGTTTGACCTATTAAGAACAGTTCTCTGAAGAGTGAAATGCTTTTTCAGTTACAGAAAGAACTTTGGATGTCTTTGAACTGACTTGCTGACTGCAATATTGAAAAACCAAAAGAGTTCATGTCTTAGTGTTAGGTTATCAGATCTGACAAGTCATATTTCCCATTCTTTCATAAACTCAGACAGTGTTTCAAATGTTGTATTCTGCTAAATTTGTGCAATTCATGTAATTTGTGCAATTACGTTTCATGCATTTGATCCAGTTTGCCAAAGAAAAAAGTGAAGCACCAGAGAATAGCCAAGGGAGAGCTTCTCCTAGGAGTAGAGAAAGCATAAGACAAATCCACCCTAAGCAAAAGTGAGAATATTATACTTACAGATTTTTTTTTTCTAAAAGAGGCAAGGGAGCTGTAGTGGGTGGGCAAAGATTCAAAGTGAGTATGAAACAGATGGATGGACAGAAAGAAAGAAAGATAATCAGCCTAATCAACACAATAGATACAAACTCAAGGTTAACCACACCAAACTTGACTGCAGAAAATACGACTTCAGCAACAGAATGGTCAATGTTTGGAATACTCTACCTGACTCTATGGTTTCTTCCCCAAACCCCAAAAACTTTTACCTTAGACTGTCTACTATTGACCTCACCCCCTTCCTAAGAGGCCTGTAGGGGGCGTGCATAAGCGCACCAATCGTGCCTACCGTCCCTGTCCTATTGTTTTTTATTTTTCTTATAAGTATCTATCTCATGTATTCAAAACTATATTTATTCTTATACCTGTATCTTGTAAGCAATTGACAAATCAAATAAATACTAAATACTAAATACAGATGGATGGAAAGAAAGAAAGAAAGAAAGATAATCAGCCTAATCAATCAGTTGCAGGATGAAAGTGTCTTCACTTAACATTATGAACCATAGAGAAAGGATTTTCAAAGGAATAAAAGGTGCTACCTTTTATTCCAACCCACATCAATTGTTGTCACGTATCAATATGGCCTGGATGGGTGGAGAAATAGGAGGAGAAGTGGAAAATATAAAAATACTACCAAACTCCTGGGCAGACCACAATCAGATCAAAATAATCTGAAGAGGCCGGAAAAAAATACTAAAAGATAAAGAAATTGTTCTGAAACTCAGAGAAGAGTTAACACTATGTTTTAAAGAAAACAATAGACAACATACATTGACACAAAATCTATGGGACACTATGAAGGCCTACACCCGGGGGATTATAACATCCTACACAGCTAAAAGAAACAAAGAAAGGTGGATTCAACAAAATAAATTACAGGAAAGAATTAAAATGTCAGCTTTGGAATCCTTATTAAAAGCTGACACACAGCAGTGGAGGATGGAAGCAAACTACTGTTGTTTCAGTAGACAAAATAGAGGGGGAAATGCCAAGGTCATTCTCTATGGCGTAGCAAGAATTATAGCACAAGGTTGATTGGTACATGTGATTTATGATGCAAAGAGAAAAGGGTGGAGGAAGGCTGAGTCTTGTGGGAAGTCTGGGAGGAGAACGTTAGTTCCGGAATTCCACAGATGTGCCATGTTCCTGTTCTAATAAATCACTTTGGGATTATGCCTGGAGTCGTTGATTGGAATGGATAATTCATGGAACCCTAACATAAAAACCTAGAAATCCAATTGCAAAATACCCCATAAAACACCAGACTTAAAGAACAATTGGCTTTAACTAAACACAAACTCAATAATAGATCAGGAAGAAATTATGAAAAATCTAAAAACAGCCAAACAAACATTCTTCGAGCATGCAAATAAACTGGGAAGATGGCTCTCATATAGACTTAAAAAAGAGAGGGGAAAAAGAACATTGTATCAATTACAGGACGAAAAGGGAGAGTATCAACACACAATAGAAGAAAAAAGAAGATAGCATACCAAAACTTTGAAGATCTGTACAAAAGTGAGGAAGTAGATGAAGAATGGATAAGTGAATATTTGAAAGAGGAAGGAAGTCCACCAATAGTAGAAGAACTGAGGGAAAATTTAACTAAAGAAATAACCATTACAGAACTTATTCAGGCCCATATCTTTATTGAATGCCGATTATAAAATATTTGTGACCATAATAGCAAATAGATTGAAGAGATTACTGAATCAATATATCCATTCGGACCAAAATGGATTTTTTCCATCTAGATATATTAGGAATAATTTAAAAATAGTATTAGATATTTTGGAGTACTACAAAGCTCACCCAGAGAAACGAATGGCCCTTGTCTTTCTGGATGCCCAGAAGGCATTCAATAATCTAAATTGTAAATGTATGATACAGAAAATTTATAATATCAATCTAGGAACCAAATTCAAGAATATAATAAACACAATATACTCCATCCAAAAGGCAAGTATTGTGATAAATGGCGAAAATACACAGAATTTAAAAATTAGGAAAGGAGTAAGACAAGGTTGTCCTCTGTTACCTCTGCTTTTTATCTTGTCGCTAGAGACCTTACTAAGGCGAATTAGACAGAACCTGGGAATAAAAGGAACCAAAGTCAAAAAGGAAGAATATAAACTGCAAGCCTTTGCAGATGATATGGTGTTCTTTATTGATCCGATAGAGACAGGGGAGGAGATAATCAGAGAATTGGAAAGATATGGGTCTTAAAATCAATAGACAGAAAACAACACTTTTAACTAAAAACTTAACGGAATTACAAAAAATAGAATTAGAAAAGGTAATGGGACTACAAGTAACAAAGAAAATTAAATATTTAGATATCTGGCTGACGGCACAATGTATAACAATAAAGGAGAATAATTACAATAAATTCAAACAACAAACAAAGAAAGATTTAGACTTATGGTCCAAATTACAACTATCATTGTTAGGAAGAATAGCGGCTATTAAAATGTCCATATTGGTATGGACATTTTATCAACTAAAAGAGTTGATTTTTTTTATCAACTAAAAGAGTTGATACCATTGAAACCATTGAAACATCCCTTAACACCATAGTAGCATCCCTGGACGCCGTAAAAGAAAGAATATCCAACCTTGAAAAAAAAGACACAACGCAAAAACCTGAACATCCAATAGCTACAAACCACATCTCTACCCAACAACCACAACCCAATCCAAAACCCAATCCACAAATAAACACAACCCAGACAAATATTGATATCCCAATCCTCATCAGAGAAGCCGTTGAGCGTGAATGGAAACGTCCAAACGCCATCTTATTTGGTCTAGAGGACATCAATGACAATGATGATATCACAACTGTCCGAAACATCATCAGTGATTATCAAGCATCAACCATCTCCGCTGATGAAATACTTGACATTTCCCGCATTGGCCGAGAGCTCAAAAACAGAGACGGCTCTGTGGCCCCACGCTTGTGCAGGGTCATTTGCAAAAATGAATCAAGCAAACGTAAATTCATTTACACTATAAATTCACTCACCAAAACCAACACCAACCATAAGAACCTCCGTTGTCGCCCTGACCTAACCATACAGCAACGTGCCCGCTCCCGTGTACTCCGCACTGAACTCAAAAAACGTCTAGACAATGGAGAGAAGGACCTGTACATTGACTACCATGCTGACTGTATCAAAAGTAAGCCACACAACCCGCAACTCAGCTTTAACCCTCAACCACAACCCTACCTCAACCGATCCACCATCACCCAAGACTAGGCATGCACGCCTCTAACTACCTCAATTCCAACTACTACTGGCCTTAAATGCAAACTACTCAATGCAAGAAGCCTCGTGAATAAAATACCTGAATTTTTCCTCCTACTAAATATGGCTAAATTCGACATTATATTTGTCTGTGAAACATGGCTTAATGCATCTCTCCCTGACTCCATTACCACAGTAAGGGACTATCATGTTTACCGATCAGATCGTGAAATTCGTAGAGGAGGTGGTGTTGCTATCTTCTATAAAAAGTCCTTACATCTAAAAAATATCCAAGTTACCCAGGAGCTTGCTCTTCCTGAGACCATCATCTGTGAACTATCCTTAAATATCACAGTTCGATTCTTACTATGTTACAGAGCACCTGATTATGACATCGAACATGTAAACAAGCTAAATACATTACTAACATGGGCTGCATCCTGCCCATACCCTTTTATCTTTCTTGGTGATTTCAATCTACCTCATATTGACTGGACCCTAAATGAATGTACAACTGAAATCATACACACAA